AGTTCCTTGTCACAGGGATGCCGGAAGCTGATGACAAAGCACGATTTTGTTTCAAAAGAAAACTCCTCAACTCACTTGGACATAATTCCTCAACACCATGATACCACAACGTGATGGCAAAGCACTGATTTTGTCCAAAAGAAACTCCTCTACTCACTTCAGTCATTTCTCAACATCAATACGGCACACGGGGGCGCAAGAGTACACTTTTTGTCACGATGAAACTTCTTAGCTCACGTCAACATAGTGCCTGGACACCAAGAGCCCCCCAAATCAGAAAATCTGTAAAAACAGCGATGCTGAAAAGTCAACTCACCATCTTGCTGTCACGTGATGCCTCAGCTGAGGGGAAAACAAAACAAAACAAAACACAGACGCGGCATTATATTGGTGAGCAAGCTTGATACTGTTACTGTAACAACACGCACCCTCCTCCTCTTCCTCCTCCTCCTTGTCGCTGTCCGACGACATGGCGACGACGCGAGGGGCCCCCGCCGCCCCGGGGGGCTTCCCCGACCGCTGCCGAGGCGCGTCGCGAGAGGCGGCGCCTCGGCCCGGAAGCCTCAGGTCGGCCACGCGCTGACGCATCCGCAAGGTCAGCTCGGGACTGAGACGCCAAACGAAGATGCAGCTGCACGCACGCGCGGGCGCGGGGGGGTCAGTCCGCGTGGCCGAAGCCCGAGCGCGCCAGCTGGCGTTCGAGTCGTACCTGTCACCTGACACGCTGATGAGGCGAGTGCAGTCGCTGCTGAATTTGAGGCCGGTGACCACCTCTGACGGACAGAGAGAACGACGGAGGGTCAAACGCACGCGCGCGCACGCACAGATGCGCGCGCACACACCTCCCCCGACTAACCCGAGTGTCCAAACATGGTGGCCACGCACTCGCCAGAGTAGAAATCAAAGATGTTGATGCTCTTGTCCGAACAGGAAGTGGCGATGTAGAGACCTGAGGGGTCGATCTGCACCTGAGCACCAACGAGATGAACACGAAGATGATGATGATGATGAT